CCTCCAAAAATATAGATATTCATATGGTTTAATAAAATCGACCATATGGCATTACTTAGTAGTAATTACTTTAATTACTACACATAACTTCACGTACATCTTACACCGTGCTCTCTTTACCAGAATGATAAAATCAGAGGCTGTAAAGTTACGTAGGTTGTGGTGGTAATGGTAACGCCGCTATTTCAAGTTAGTCTGGTAATCTAGCTTAACCCGAAACCATTAACGACGTTTTATTATTGTTGTTTTGACCAATTGGTAATCAGTTTTCTGACATTTCATGGGAAAATAAACAAATAGTTCAGTTAGTTTTCTTCAGTAAAATTCATTTCTACCGTATTGAAAAGGTAAGCGAGGTAAAATAATCAAAAGTGTCTCATATATTTTTACTACAAGTTTTAATTAAAATGAAGCATGTCAGTCTATAAATATTACTCTAATTTAAGTATCTTTTTTAATTCTTTCAATTGTAGTGTTTGTTTAACATTTTAATATTATTATAACTTTGAGATTTTTACTTATTTTTTCAAATGGTTGGCTTTATTGAATGAAACATTTCCTTTTCTAGCTTAAAAAATGTCAGGAGAGGAAAACAGTAGGCCAATGTCCAATGCCTCTGCAGAAAGTATCGGGCAAACAATCACAAGCTCATCACAAGGCTCGAGCAACGTTGCAGAGTCAAATGCCATGCCACGACAAGAACAAGCCAGTAGGCAAAATAATCTTCAGAGAATACATCTGCGCAAGCAGCAGGTTTTTAATTTACCTCAAGTTAAAAAGTTACTGAAACTAGCAAGCTACAGCGCTTGTCAGGTTGAAGAGTGCAAGTGCAACGGCTGGAAGAATACACAGACTCATCCAAAATCCAATCAGAGAAATGAACCACAGCCCATAGCCACCTTTACCGATCCGTGTAGATGTTGTACTCATACTTTGGAAAATCATGTGTCACACTTGGTCACACAATCTGATGATATGATCAACAAACTGCTAGGCATGGTTGTTGATGTTGATAATATATTCATGGGCATGCACAGAGAAGAGGATCTGGACACAAAGAGGGTGTATTATTATCTATTTAAATTACTGAGAAAGAGCATCCTGTCGATGACCAAACCAACCATAGATGGACCCTTGGGACAGCCTCCTTTCGAGAAGCCGAGCATATCAAAGGCAATAACTAATTTTGTGGCTTATAAGTTTGGACACTGCTCCCAGCGTGACTGGCAGTCAATGTACGACTTGGCAAAGATGTTTCTTCATTGTTTGAATCATTGGAACTTTGAGACTCCTAATGCTAGAAGAACTGCCGTGACCACTGATGACGCGCCAGCTTACAAGATCAATTATACAAGGTGGCTAGTTTTCTGCCACGTTCCAGCCTTTTGTGATTCTCTGCCTCATTTCGACACTACTATTGTTTTTGGACGAACAATGCTCCAAGCTGTTTTCAAATCAGTTTGTAAACAGTTGATGGACAAGTGCCACACCGAAAAAGACCGAATGTCCATGGAGAAACGCGTTCTTATTTTAAATCACTTTCCTAGGTGAGCTAACACGCCCATATAGCAAAATTTTCATCGCTTAAGCATTATAATCTCCCAAAATAAATTATACCCAACGATTTTCAGATTTCTTCAGATGCTCGATCCCGAAATTTATGGGGACTCCTCGCCGATCTGGGACCCAGAGTTCAAACCAGCTCTGCCTCCATATTTGCAAGCGTCCGTTGACCTCAAGACCATTCCTGGACGTAAAACTGGTGAATTCGAGAAAGTCACGGTTGCCCCCAACGACAAGGACAATTTCACGACGATCAATCTCAGTCCGGGGTTAAAGAAAATCCAGGGTAAACGAACCACGAGTTTGGATATCAGAGGCGACTCGAAGAAGCGCAAAACTGACGAGGCGTTCGATGACATATCCGAGGAGGTAGTGACCAAGATAATCGCGACCATCAAAGATCCAAATTTCATGTTTGGCTTGGATGCTATATTCCCGCCAAATGCACCGCGCGATGAGACACCCAAGCTCGAGGAAAGCAGGAAGATTATAGAGTTCCACATCGTAGGTAACAGTCTAACTAAGCCAGTGTCCAAGCAAACTATGCTTTGGCTCATAGGGCTGCACAATGTATTCAGCCACCAGCTGACGAGGATGCCGATGGGGTACATATCGCAGTTGGTCTTTGATCCGTGAGTATCTTGTTTACCTACACGTAAATTTGACCTTTTATTTATTAAAAAATAACGTCGTACAGGAAACACAAAACTCTTGCGCTGATAAAGGATGGACGACCAATTGGCGGTATTTGCTTCCGCATGTTCGCGAGTCAAGGTTTCACCGAAATAGTCTTCTGCGCTATGACGTCCGAGCAACAGGTCAAGGGCTACGGCACCCACTTGATGAACATGCTCAAGGATTACCACGTTAAGCACAACATTCTGCACTTCCTCACGTTTGCGGACGAATATGCCATAGGCTACTTCAAAAAGCAGGGCTTCAGCAAGGAAATCAAGCTACCACGCATAGCGTACCAGGGCTACATCAAGGAATACGAGGGCGCGATGTTGATGCACTGCGAGCTTAACGCCAAGATCGTCTACACGGAGTTCACGACCGTGGTGCGCAAGCAGAAGGAAATCGTCAAGCAGCTGATCTACCAGCGCCAACAAGAGATACAAAAGATCCATCCGGGCCTCACGTGTTTCAAGGAGGGTGTGCGTGGCATCCCAGTCGAGTCGATACCCGGCATCCACGAGACGGGATGGAAGAACTGTGCTCAGACGCGTACGCGAGGAATCGCCAAGGGCTCCCAGGGCCCCGAGCCCATAGAAGCGAGCCTTGACATTCACGATTCGCTCTACAATGGCTTGAAGAGCGTACTCGCGAGCGTCAAGAATCACACGGCAGCCTGGCCCTTCCTCAAACCTGTTGACAAAAACGAGGTGCCTGACTACTACGACCACATCAAGTATCCCATGGGTAAGCTATCTTTTGACATTTCAAAGGGATCTTTTCTAATGGTGTGTAACTCTTGGTTTTTTTTTTTTTTTTTTTTTTTTTTTTTTTTTTTTTTAATTTTTATCGCAGATTTAAAAACAATGACCGAACGGCTCAAGTTCCGGTACTACGTGACGCGCCGGCTCTTTATCGCCGACATGACACGCATTTTCACCAACTGCCGTTTATACAATGGCCCGGACACCGAGTACTATTCCTGCGCCAACTCTCTCGAGAAGTACTTCCAGACGAAGATGAAGGAGCTTGGGATTTGGGACAAATAGTCGAGAGACCTGTTGCTGTCCACTGCTGATGGCAAGATTTCTTTGTCCTCTGTCCCCGACGTCGTTCTCCTTAACAATGATGACAATGACGACGATGAGATCGTCGAGTTGTAGGAGTGAGCAGTCGGGAGAGTTTAGTTACAGGTTCAAGGAATTGACTTTTTAATTGAGATGTTTGGTGAGTGTCGAGATCCGCGTTAAACGGTGATAGTAATAGAATACCGTCCTTGAGAATGCAAAGTTTGCAACGATTTTGATTCGATTTGAGAGTGCATGGTTGCGGTATCTCACGCGGGTCTGTCTTCTCAACTGTGTTGATTGATTCGTTTAGAGATCCTTTAGTTTTAAGATAAGAACATGTATTATTGCGAAGAATATCTCTGTAAAGGAAAATATTTTTCAAAGCAGCTTAAAGTACTTGCATTGTATATACATCGAAAGACTGTTTTTTTTTTTTGTAATTGTTGAAATGAAAAGTACCGTGCATAACTTTAACGTAATGTGTGACTGTTGGAACTGATTTGAAAAAAAAAAAAAAAAAAAAAAATTAAATTAAACATAAGAAAACAAACATAACGGCGTCAGGGGTTGTCAGACTGAATTATAATTATTAAAAAAAAGTAGTAATAAATTAAATTGAGTTATATGAGCTTGTATTATCGATTGTAAACTCAAAATACGAGAGAAGCGTGTAAAATTTTGGTGTAAATAATGTAGGCTATAAACGTACTATCGTAATGTCATTGTAATGTTAAATTTTTCAAAAACCGGCACTATTGTGTCTTCTCATCTTTGCTTGTAAAGTTAGTTGAATAAACGTATAATCTTCCTTCACATACGCTTTTCTCATCATCTTCACCAATTCCATGATACAAATAAAAAAAAATGGAGGAAAAAAAACAAGTGAACCTGGCGATGCAGGTACGTATGTAGGCTTATCGGAAGATGGGGAAGCGCCAGCTGGTTTGTGTGAATGTTCACAGTCTAATTAATACCATTAACCAGCCAGTTAATTAGAAAATGTAATGCACACACGGGCCAAGCAGCGTACTGTGCTTGGCTCATGTTACGGAACGCTGGTTAACGCTCTCCCACTTTTGCAGGCTGTTTCGTAGCTTTTTTTTTTTTTTTTTTTTTTTTTTTTTCCTTACAAGTGCGGTGACTTATCCTTGGCTTTCCGAATCGCGTGCAAAGTGAAATTGACTCTGGAATCGTTTTTGGCTCTCTCACGTGTATTTTTCTTTTGTCGATCGTTTCTTCGTTTGTAGAGTCCACGAGTTACACCTTGTACTCATGTTTTTTTTTTGTTTTTTTTTTTTCAGTTTTATATACTTTAACGTTGAATAATCAAATTTAATTACCCATGGACATCAACCTACAAGCTCTTTACGAATACGTGGCGAATGAGTAGTGTGCAACTCGTCGAGTAATTATTAATTTTCATAACGAGTTTTCCGTTGAAGCGCAATGCCGTTAATTACAAAGCGTTAAAATCACTTACACCTGGAAGATCAATTTTTCATATGCGTATACACAATGTGTTGTACTTGGATGCAGAATTAGGTGCGGAAGTGCGTGAGAATACATTTTTTTTCTCTGCGTATATTTAATTGAGATTTAAAACCACTTTATTACACCATAACGCGCTAAAGTTGTAACGTAAACGTGAAAAAAAAAAAAAAAAAAAAAAAAAAAAGTAGTTTGTCGAAACAACGATTTACCAATCACTCGATGTACGATTTTTTGTGCCAATCAGGCGTCCGACTAATCGAATCAATTACAATCTATGTTTATTTCTCTTACTCCTAATACCACTTTTATTTCGTTTGAAATTGACCTAGATCTCGTTTTGTCGATTCACACTGATATAATTGTATACAGTAAATGTCTTGAAAAAACTACCTGTATGCATGTCGGATAAAAATAACGCATTTAATTTTGTTCACACCCAACAAATAAACCAACAACCTGTATTATAGATGACAAAAGCTCGTGTATAGCCGATGCTCTCGTTTTTCCACGAAAAATAATCACGATGAGCCATCCGATTTCGTCCCAAAGGTCGGACGTACGTACCGATCGTCCTTCGCCAGTGGTATGAGCCTGAGCTAAAATTCTCCCGCATCTGGGCCATGCACATGGTATGTTTATATTAAAAGTACATACTTTTGGAGCGTGAATGAGTACACACTTTGCGCGTTGCCGATGTACTTGTATATATTTTTGTGTAAAAATCGGGTCAAGATCGAGGACAATCAGACTCGTGCGCGTCGCGTCTCCTAAAATGTGTACTTACTACTTACTTCTTGTACTTTAACGAACTGCAAGGAGAGTTTTTGCTCGCTTGATCGATGATTCTTTTTTTTTTTTTTTTTTTTTTTTTTCACCATGCCACTAGATTATTTTTACACCCGATCATCAGGAATTAAAGACACTCTACATCGCTCACGTCTGTTTTTTTGTCGTTGCATCGTTAACTTTGTAATTGCACGCGAGAGCTGTCATTGATGTAATTTTTCGTTTAGCGATCTCCCGTAAATATACGAGTGTACGTACAAATCCAAAAAAAAAAGGAGGAGACTTTCGCCTCTTCTCGTACTGATGATTATATTATGGCAAAAAACTGATGATTATTACAAGATAGGAGAGAAAATCGGTTTGCCGCCAGGGGAGGGGTGGATTTCCTCGTGATTCTGTGCACAAAGTGACGAGGAGGAAAGCTAAGCCTCATCCTTACGTTTTATGCTCTGTTTGCTCGCGTTGATCTTGCATGTGCATTACGAGTTTTCCAGTGTATCTCTTTTCCTTCGATACATCATCGGAAGTGTGATCGGTAAGAGAATTTTCAACGTTGCGGAAACCGTTGTCGTGCACAATCATATCGATTAATTAACACTTGGTGACGATGTATACCTTTTCGTGTACGAGAAAGCTGACTCATCACATTCGGAAGATAATTTGCAGTAGCTCCATGTGAGGAAATTCGTCCAAGTACCGATCACCTAATCGCTCCTTAATACGCCAATTTTTTTCTTTCATCTTCGTTGCCGAGGCATACGTATTTGTGCTGCAGCCACCCCCATTTAGAGTCAAATATATACCCATACCATGTAAATAACCCGTGAAAAAAAGAAAAGGCGAGTCCTTTGGTGTAAAATAGCATATACTTCTCTTTCTTATTTCTTGCCGCTGGATATCACATACACAGAGCCATCGGTGTCCGTACAAGGCAGAGAGAGAGAGAGAGAGAGAGCCAAGGAGGAAGGGGAGCCAATATAAAGCCAGCCGGACGCGCGGCTTCCCGGTCAAGAATCTTCGGGCGCGCGCTTGAGCTGTACACGTTTCACATAATATACACTCACACATATGTGAACCCGTGTGCCGATGTGTTGTTCTTTTTTTTTCTTCCCCTTCTTCTATTGTTTTTTTTTTCATTTGACATATTTGTAGATTTTTTTTTCCTCTCCCCGTCACCGGTTTCCTGCTTCCGCGTTTACTTGCCGATTTTCTTGGAGTACACGCACACAGACAGTCGGCTCTATAGTCATTTGCGTTACGATCAGGGAGACTAGTAAGTTTTTTTTCTTTCTTTAGTCGTTCATTTAGCTTCTTCGGGCGAAATTCACATTGGAAAAAAATTGAAACGAATTTTGCAGTTTTCATCCAAAAAATGTGCGACGACGACGTGGCCGCCCTAGTGGTCGACAACGGCTCGGGCATGTGCAAGGCCGGCTTTGCCGGCGACGACGCTCCCCGCGCCGTGTTTCCATCCATCGTCGGCAGGCCCCGCTATCAGGTACACCTTTATATATACCTTTACAACTAAAATGAAAAGAAAAAAAAAAAGAAACTCGACATACATTTTTTATACAGGGCATAATGGTGGGCATGGGGCAAAAGGACTCGTACGTGGGTGACGAGGCCCAATCGAAGCGCGGAGTGCTCACGGTCAAGTACCCCATAGAGCACGGCATCGTCACCAACTGGGACGACATGGAGAAGATCTGGCACCACACGTTCTACAACGAGCTCCGCATCGCGCCCGAGGAGCACCCGGTCCTCCTGACGGAGGCGCCCCTCAATCCCAAGGCCAACCGCGAGAAGATGACGCAGATCATGTTCGAGACCTTCAACTCGCCGGCCATGTACGTGGCCATTCAGGCGGTGCTCTCGCTATACGCCAGCGGACGGACGACCGGCATCGTCCTCGACAGTGGCGACGGGGTATCTCACACTGTACCGATTTACGAGGGTGAGTTGTAAGCTGGGCTGTTTTTTTTTTTTTTCTCTTTTCCTTGTGTGCGCGCACGCGAGTGTGTAATTAACGCGCGGATACGGAGAGCTCGTTACAACGGTATCGGAGTAACGAGCTGTCGAAGGTGCTACTCATTCTTCCAAACGCGATTTCTAACGAGCGCGGCGAACAATCGCGTTTGCATTCACGCGTGTCGTATGATTTTTTTTTTTTTTTTTTTTTCTCTTCATCGCGTGTACAGTGGTGGATATTTCGCACGTCAGCGATAATTTATGATGAAGTACATATCGTGGATTAATTTTTGTTGATTCGTTTAATTAACTTTTAATTGATGGTTGAACGAAGCGCGCGCGCGCCCGCGTTTAACGAGCGGCTGTGCCGATACGCTCTGAATGTTTGGTGATTGCCCACCGCCACCTCGTACAGCCTGATTTATATACCTGTGCCTGTTTACTTAAGACGAGCTCGCCTTTCTCGGCAACGATTTGGCACAATTTTGAAGCCAATATCACTCGGTTTGAAGGAAACGCGAGCTTTATCCTGATGGCCATATAGAGTTGATTGAATTTTGTTTGAAGAAAAAAAAAAAGAGAGACGGTTTTAAGATCGAGGTCGTTTTATTTCCGTCCTTTTTTGGGCTGATCGGCCTCCAAGGATTTGCCGATCGATTGAGCTTAAGTGATGGAGAAATAAGCGATTGCCGAGCTTCGTCAATAATAGACACTAATTATGTCACATCGACGATGGAAGCGAGGATAAAAATAAGTCGCTCCGTGGTTTTTTTTCGAATACGAAATCTTTTTCGTTTACCGGAAGAAGACGACCTGTTGAAAAATACCATGGATGAATTTGATAAAAATACAATCTTTATTTTTTAACGAGACGTCAATACGATTTCAACGATACCTAATAAATAGTATAACTTATACATCAACTTACTAAATTGTTGTGAAAAAAAAAAAAAAAAAATGTACAATTACTTTTACATGTTGTGATGTCGAGTTTATGAAAATTTGGAATATTCGACACAGCGCGACGGATCGGTCGGGTAATACTCCTGACACTTGGTCATAAGTCGTTTGAGAGCCTGAATGTACTTGCGCTGAGTCTCGTCGTTCATCACGTGGGCCACGTTTTTCGAGAAAATCTTTTCTCGTCCGGTACGCGCGTGAATACCAACCATAGTGACACCAATTGGCCATGGCGAGTTGCCGATTGCCATTTGAAGATAAGCGTCACTAGCCTGGAAACAAATTGACATTCAATCATCACAAACTACACGAATTTTCGTTTTTCACTGAAAGCAAACAAAAAATGATTGATAAACACTTACTAAAATGTAATTTCTGTCGAGCAACTGTTTGACGATTTCTGTCAAGCTGTCCGTAATGTCTTCAGGAAGTGATTTGTTCTTCAACTTTCTGAGCAGAGGTTTGAGATACTCTCCTGTCTGTGCATAAATGGCACCATCCATTTTACCTTTGGTACTCATCTTTTCTGCACCTCGCCTGCTATTGAGCTGATCACCCCATAACTTGAGTAGAAATTGCAAAAACTGCGTAATGATCTTCATATCGGTTTCTCGGTCATTCTTGTCAAGTTTTTCCGCCATCTTTTGAATGTCCTCATACGTTATTTCCGCATCTGGGACGGGAACATCACCTTTTTTGCGCTGTTCTCCTGGTTTTGAGGATTCCAGAATTTCGTCAAGATAAGCTTGATCAACCTGATCCATAGCCTCTTGGAAATCATTTCTTAAACCCTGCCAATGAAAGTATTAAATGCTTGAAGGAAAGACACAGATCACTATAAGATTGAAATAACACAAAATACACAACATACCTTGTTTATTTCTGGCGCGAGTATTTCAGATTTTCTCAGTCTCTTGAAGGCATCAGTTTCAGTTTCAGCAAATAATAAAATTGGTTCTCCTCTTTCCCTCAACTTCCTAACAACCTCTGCTCTCGGAAGTATTTGTGCATTATCTTGAATCAGATTCTCATGAGTTGCAGTGCTACCTTGGCTGTCTGTTTTGTTGCTAGAGTTTGTGTCATTGGTTGTTCTCAGCTCCGTAGCCAGCAAATCACCTCTTTTAAAGTATTTTCGGTTATTTTGCTGTAAACAATAAAGTCAACAATTCCATTAAATTGTGGATGTTAGTTAAGTAAAGTTTTTGGATGTAAAAGGATAGCAAGTACTTACCAAAAGATTTTTTTCTTCAAGTTCTTTGCGCTTTCTTGCTATTTCTGCTTTCAAAATTTCCATGATAGGAAAATAGAAAACAACTTCTAAACTGTTAAACACTTGAAAAACAAAGATTTCAGTCAAAATAAACGTCTTTAACCTCGTAATATGTTGTTATATTTTTCCGTTTTTCTTCTCACGAAACTATCGTTTGAGCCAATAGTAAAAGGAATTGCTCAAACTTTTATTTTTACTTTGGTTCGCATGACAATTGTTTGAGCAGAATGAATTAGGCGTAAATAACAACTACTTAATTGTTATTGCATCTCAAGTTTTCACTAAGCTGATACTGACTATTGTAAATGTGTAACAGACAGTCAATTTTGGTCACTGGTGTATAATTTTGTCACTAACGTCACAATACACATCGAGTGTCAAATTTAAATTCATTTATTCAATTCATCATCAGTCCGAAAATTAGCGGGTGCAGTGCAGGCCAAAAAAGTGAAAAAAGTGCAAGAAAAGGTTTAAGGTTATAAACGTAATATAATATTTGCTGTGTATTGATAAACGCATTTCAAAAGAAAAAAAAAGGAAAAGCTCAACTGAAAAAAACACAACGTGATCAAAGCGAAAATGTCAACGTTGGCCGAAAACTACGAGCTCCGCGAGGCTACGAGACCCGACATTCCGCATATAAACACCTTCCTGGAAGCCAACTTTCACCCGGAAGAGACGATCCTCGCGTGCCTCACCTCAAACATCGACAACAACAACGTTCTCCTTAGACAGCAAATTGATGAGGACCAGCGCAGCATCATCTCGGCGATGTTGTCTATCCATCCGTGTCAACTACTGCTCTACCCCACGAACGACAGTATCGCGGGCGTCAACATCATGATAGCCAGTGAAAATCCGAATCTCATAACCAACCCCAACGAGCGCACCGTTGACGTTTACGAGACCCACAGGCCAAAGTGCGAGCTTCTCGCTGGCTACTTTGACCTGATGAACGACATGATCGGAGAGGCCGAGCTTTTCCACAAGTTTCCCCGAGCTAGGAGGGCTTTGGAGTTTTACGCCGTTGCCGTAGCCAAGGAGCATAGAAACAGGGGCTTGGCCACTCGACTGTTTGCCGAGAGTGTCAAGTTTGCCAGGAAGACTGGAGTCGATTTGGTTTTTGGGCTATTCACGTCGCCCATTTCCAAAAGAGCCGCCGAGAAAGTGGGCTTGGAAACCGTGGTCGAGCTCGATCTGATGAAGTATCGAGACTCTCGGGGAAGGCTTTTGTTGGAGGATTCTTCAACACACGGTGTCGCGTCAGTAATGGCAATGGTTCTAACTGGTGGAGACGAAATTTAAGTTGACTCTGAAACAATATTACATTTAGGGCCATGGCTATACTTATTCTTCAAACAATTTTCTTATGCAAAAAGTGTAGTTCTAGTTAGGGATGGAATGTCAGTCAAATTGGATGTGAGTGGAAGGGATTTTTACTTGGTTGTAAACTAGCAGATGATAGATAGTTACAGTTACAATACCGAACGTTTTACACTGAAATGAAAAATCAACGTTTGTACAGAGGTGGCACCAACCAACATGTTGCCTGACAGGTAGAACAATAAGGTAACGGAAAAATCAATGCTGTAGGGTTGATCAATAATGAATTTGTAAAAATCGATTTGTTAAATATCGTCCTAATCATTGCTTGAAAAAAAATTGACACAAACAAAATATGATTCTCCATTTCAGGGTACGCTTTGCCGCACGCCATCCTCCGTTTGGACCTCGCCGGCCGTGACCTGACCGATTACCTAATGAAGATCTTAACCGAGCGCGGCTACTCTTTCACGACGACAGCAGAGCGGGAAATTGTTCGCGATATCAAAGAGAAGCTTTGCTACGTCGCTCTGGACTTCCAGCAAGAGATGGCCACTGCAGCCGGTTCGAGTGCTCTTGAAAAAAGCTACGAATTGCCAGACGGACAGGTGAGTCCCTTTCTCGATCACTTGTTGCGCGCAACTCACGTATAATTGGATGTCGAAAAAAATATTGATTTTTAGGTCATAACGATCGGCAACGAGCGCTTCCGGTGCCCAGAGGCGATGTTCCAGCCCTCGTTTCTGGGCATGGAATCCAGCGGAATCCACGAAACAACCTACAACTCGATCATGAAGTGCGATGTCGACATCCGCAAGGATCTCTACGCTAACTCTGTCCTCTCGGGTGGTACCACGATGTATCCAGGCATCGCGGACCGCATGCAGAAGGAAATTACGGCGCTCGCACCTTCCACGATGAAGATCAAGATAATCGCACCTCCAGAGAGGAAGTACTCGGTATGGATCGGTGGCTCAATCCTGGCCAGTTTGAGCACCTTCCAGCAAATGTGGATCTCCAAGCAGGAGTACGACGAGTCTGGGCCCTCTATTGTACACCGCAAATGCTTCTGAGCTCTTTCACCATTTGTTCATTTCGTTTTCGTTGCGATTGAAAAAAAAAATAATTTTTCAATTTTATAGGTAGATACCTGAGAAATATTGGTGTTACTCTTGAGATATTTATATATTTCTGTGTTATGTATAGCGTTAAGTANAATTGTTTTTAAGTTACTCTAGTCATTCCAAGTACCTACTTCTGTTATATATGTACAAGTATGTATACGGTGGGCCCAATCGTTTTTACTCCACTCGCGGGAGGGGTATTCCGGATTACCGCCTTGCCAACCCATATTAGTTCACTACTCACTCTCTTCGTCCGGAGTCGCTACGGTCGCCATCAGGTCCCTTCCGGGATGCGGGACCCTTTCTCTCTTACACACATAACCATACTTGCCATTAATATTGTATATTTAATACATTTTATGAAAAATCTACACACATTTTATAATATGACGTAGTAATTCTTACTGTCATCCATATCGCTTATTTAAATTTGAACAAAGGCATTTTTCATTGTTTTTAAATAAACGATTTGTTGACAAAACAATTTAAATGGATGATAATCTAGTTTTTACAAGTTAGATAGTCTAAGATAAAGCGTTGAATCGAATTGTAATAGCAAAAGACAATATTTGTATGATTTATTGATGAAAATAAATTATAATTCTTAACATCATGGGAAGATTGTGAAGTTTATAAAAATTGATAATTTAAACTAAGTACTGTCTTATCGACGGAGCCCCCAATTTTCATTGCAAATTCAGGCTGCGGCCACATAGGCACGTCCACGCACTCCACAGTCCACTCACGCGTTTGACTTTGACAAAGTTTGACGTCCGTCACTCTGTCAGAATCGTGCCTAGTTCTTTGCTGCCAACTTCAGATAAACCAACTCCCAAACACATCCCGTATACCTATTCACACTTGTTTGTACTTCATTGACGCCTTCAATTTGAAGGTTTACACGTTGACAGTGAAGAAGGACTAGGCACGATTCTGACGGACGTCAAACGTCAAACGCGTGTGGACTGTGGAGTGCGTGGATGCGCCTATGTGGCCGCGGCCTAATGGCCATGTGCAAGCAGTGCAATTAGGCATTATTGGAGTTTGACAGAACAGCCAGCAGCTTCACGAGGATTTTACGTGTAAACATTTGAGTATAGTAATTATTTATAGTTCACGATGCCAAAAGTTATCAAAGAAAAATCAGGCAAAGTCCAAAGAGAAGTGTTCCGACAAGGTAACGTATCTCCTAAAAATTTTTCTCACAAGATGTTTACAAATATTCCAAAACTTAACCTAATCATGGACTAAGAATATTGATTTCCTATGCAATGCATTATAATAAAATCTGACTTTCCGAGTTTTTTCAATTCTAAAATTTATCATCTTTAAGTATTATTGCGATTTTAAAATTTAACGTACATTCAGGGATCTTCTTCAACAAGGATTTTGGACAGCACATCCTAAAAAATCCAAACATCATAGAGAGCATCATAGAAAAATCAGCTATTCGGCCTACAGACGTGGTTCTTGAAATTGGTTCAGGTACTGGTAACTTAACGATCAAGTTACTAGAGAAGGCCAAGAAGGTAGTGGCGTGCGAAGTTGATACCCGGATGGTTGCTGAGTTGCAGAAGCGCGTCATGGGTACGCCAATGCAATCCAAACTTCAAATTCTTATTGGAGACGTTTTAAAGAAAGAATTGCCATTTTTCAATCTCTGCGTTGCAAATATACCATATCAAATATCTTCACCTTTGGTGTTCAAGTTGTTACTTCACAGGCCTCTTTTCAGGTAAGGATTCAAGGTATATTTTTATCCTACTTTATTTTGGGTGATTCGATGTATCTAAATACCTTGGTACCTTGCAGATGTGCCATTCTAATGTTCCAGAAGGAATTTGCTGAGCGACTGGTAGCCAAACCAGGAAGCAAAGATTACTGTAGACTCAGTATAAACACACAACTCTTGGCAAGAGTTGATTTAATATTAAAAGTTGGTAAGAATAATTTCAGGCCTCCTCCGCAAGTGGACTCTAATGTAGTCAGAATAGAACCAATTAATCCTCCGCCACCCATTAATTATCAAGAATGGGATGGCCTTACTAGAATAGCATTTGTGCGAAAAAATAAAACTCTGTCAGCTGCCTTCAAACAATCATCGGTGACCGAGATGATGGAAAAAAATTATAAAATTCACTGCAGCCTTCATAATGTGGTAGGTTGTCATAATTTATTAATTAGTAAGCTAATATTAATGATCTAATATCACTTCAGCCTCTTCCTGAAAATTTCAATGTGAAAGAAAGGATCAATAATATATTAGCCAATAATTTTGTGGAAGATTATGATGAAAAAAGACAGGAACAAAAAGAATGTCCATTAGGCGAATTACGAGCCCGAAAAATGGACATAGATAAGTTTATGAGGTAATAATATATAGTTGGACAATTTTACATTCTTGCGTGTTAATATTGAAATAATGAAATACTGTGAATTTCAGGGTATTACAAGTTTTCAACAAAGAAGGATTTCACTTTGCATAATTCAAATTTTTGGATATGTTGAATGTTAAAGATTGTATTTTTTATGGCAGTTTTGATGAAATAAACGCTCTGTAAAAATTTTTTTGTGTTGCCTTTACTAGACAATAAATACTTTATTAAAATTCGTACAAAATTATTTTACATACACAAAATCACTTTTATAATCAAAATAACATGAACATCAACCTATGCCATACGACATACTTATCTTCAAAGACATGGTAAATATGCTAATATAGATTAATTTACATTTTATGGTATGACTGTTGATACAAATAAATACATAAAATTATCAAATTGCACACATTTATAAATACATCCCTATGGAGATGCTTTTTCATTTTAACCAATCACAGTAAAAAATTGTTTTTAAGTTACTCTAGTCATTCCAAGTACCTACTTCTGTTATATATGTACAAGTATGTATACGGTGGGCCCAATCGTTTTTATTCCACTCGCGGGAGGGGTATTCCGGATTACCGCCTTGCCAACCCATATTAGTTCACTACTCACTCTCTTCGTCCGGAGTCGCTACGGTCGCCATCAGGTCCCTTCCGGGATGCGGGACCCTTTCTCTCTTACACACATAACCATACTTGGGGTATGGGTCCTAGAGAAAGGGTCCCGCATCCCGGAAGGGACCTGATGGCGACCGTAGCGACTCCGGACGAAGAGAGTGAGTAGTGAACTAATATGGGTTGGCAAGGCGGTAATCCGGAATACCCCTCCCGCGAGTGGAGTAAAAACGATTGGGCCCACCGTATACAAGGCATGTGAAGTCGCGGCACAAACTATAGATTTGTTCAATTAAGAAGTTTCGAGCGCTTAGAGCTGCTTAAAAGATGCTAAAATTAAAAGATGTGTGAATTATTATTTTCACCTGATTTAATCCCTTCCGTGGTGTTTTGTCAAATAATAACAACAAAACCATAAGTGGGATAATATTTTAAGGATTTTATCGAGAGGATATTGCCTTAAAGATGTCATCAAAAGGATAGTGACAAGAGTGAAGGTTCGTCTGAAAGATTGTGAATTGTGATAAAAGAGTTTATAAGGTATTAGTGAGTCAGCCTTTCTATTTGAAGTCTAAGTGCAATTCTTGATTAAGATGGCAGACTTGAATGAAGCGTGGGACGAGGTAGAAAGACAGAAGTGT